TTTGATTGATTTTATGTTTCTTATCATTATCTTTATTGATCTAAAAATTGCTTAACAACATTTCTTTTTCTATTTTATATTAATTTAATTCTACTTTTCTAATTATTAAAATCACTGCAGAAAATTTAGTTAAAAATGAGTTTATTTACTTACTAAAATTTATTTTTTTTTCAAATACTTCGTTGTTATTCTATTCATGTGACATTTTTAAAACAATTTGCTACATTTTCGAATTATTTTTCATGATTTGCATACTAAAAATTTCAGAATGTGTATACAAGTAAATATTCATGAAAAATCCGACATATTAAGATTTATCGTGATATTACTCTTGTTTTTTTTTTGAGCGAGCGATTGATTAAATATAATGATAAAAGTTGATGATCATATCGATCACTGAGAAGTGAATACTTCTAATTGTTGGTGATTCGGTAGATTATGACATGAATAAAAGGACTAGCAAAGAATAGAATGTTAAGAGTAGGATATCTTAATTCATAACTAAATTGATTTTTTTTTTGGACTCACTACCAAATTGATGCTTAGCAAACAAAAAAAGACACTTTATTTTCCTTTCATAATAAAAACAGATTGGTATATGCGATTTGATTTTTTATTAGAATTTTACACTATGTACAGTATATAATACCGTACATAGTGCAAAACGTCAGCCTTAAAGTAATTACGCATGTTCTGTCCTAACAATTGATCTTATAGTCGACAACTGAAGTGAAGTTCATTCTATTGTTATCAATATCAGAACTAATAATGATAAAGTTTGAAATTCTTCAAGTTGATGTTAAATTTTTGAATATTTAATTTGAAATAATTCTCGAAATGTTAGCACTTTAACTGCAATTCCAAGCAAACGCAATTAGGGAATAACGCATAGTATTTTTAGCCATTCGAATAAAAATTATTTCAATTTTTTTTTTGTAGTATGCGCTTTCCCAGCACATTCAGGTTACAATTTATTTCCAGGTGACCTATTTTAAGACAAGAGCTATTAAAGATTTGCCAGGGAGTATTTACCTAACGGTGTTTCCACCTGATATTACTCATCTTATTTGCTTTTACCAGATTTATGACAAATAAATAGTTGCTTCAATATTTATCTCTCAATATCGATAATCTGAAACACATTGGCTTGATGAAGATTCTTTAAAGCTTTGAAAAAATGCTGGAGCTAATGAGTATATATATATATATATGTGTGTGTGTGTGTGTGTGTGTGT